GCCCATTAATGGTGGCCGGCGGCATGAAGAGGAGGGAGGGGATGGTGGTAAGTGTTTTATGAGTTTCCAAAATAAGCTTGGCCAATTAGGAGGGAAAATAATGAGTCCTCTCCAAATTGAATTTAGATTGGATTCAAATTTGAAAACTTTCCTAATTGGATTTTGCAAATAAGGAAAGTTTTTTTTTTTTTTTGAATTTCAAAATTTTCCCAACTCCTTTCTTTATTGCAAGAGCCAATTTAGGGAGTCATTATGACGATTAAAATCATCATAATGATTTGAGGTATGGGTGGGGCCGGCGGTCAAGAGGGAACAGGCGGGTTTGGCTTCGGGTGGAGGGGGATAGGAGCTAGGCCGACGGGTGGAATTGTGGAGGGGGAATTTGGTGGGGACCAAGGGGTATTTTGGTGGTGGAATGAAAGTGGAGGGAATTCGATGCAAGAAGAAAAATAAAAGAAAAAAGAAAGATAAGAAAACTGCGAACCTTGGAATCCACCAAGATTGACGGGTATTGCTTTTGCCCCACTTGGGCCTCTCCTCTCACGAACTCACTAAGAGATCATCCAAAGAGAGAAAACTTAGAACTCACAAAGAGATCCATAAGCACAAGCTGAAAATTTCATATTAATCATCATTTGCCCTTCTCCAAGAAGAGGAGGGATTTAAATAGACAAATACAATGAGGGAAAAATAAAAGACAACAATGCCCTCGGGGCTTACAAAGAACTAATCCCTTAAGCAAGGGCATAAATGGAAAAAATGACAGAAAATAAATTAATACATCACATATAATTGAAATAAAAAAAGGCGTCATCATAGCCGTAGATCATCGGCCACGTCTCTGATGGAACATTAAGGGTCTGATGTCCGCATCATTTGTCCTTCATTTAAAGAAGATGGTGTTAAAATCTCAATCGTCCCTTAGCCCTTAATCCCACAGCCAGCATGATAATCTATGGGAGGCTCACCTAGATCACACTGTTAAATCTCAACTGCCCCATAGCCCTTGATCCCATGGCTAGCATGGAGATCTGTGGGAGGCTCATCTGGATCACGCTGATCTTCTTCCATATTTGGGTGACTCATTTAGGAAGGATTATATTAGTACAATTATGCATTATTCTCTAATTATTTATTTCGTTATTAAGATGTCTTGTATAGATCTATAAATAAGGATAGTTTTGTGTAATAAAATTAAGTTTTCTTCTTCTCCAAATCTTTGAATTAAACAAGGTATCAGAGCCTTAAATCGAAGGAAGCGGAGAGCAGCAACTAGGCTTCATTGCCAGAAATATGAAGAATATAGGTTCCCATCATCGGCCTTCATTGCCGAAATTCTAAGAAATATAGGATCCCAACACCAGCCTTCATTGTCAGAATTTGAGGAATAATGGGCCTTCAGCCGGCCTTCATTGCAGGAATTCTGAGGAATACTTGTCCTTCAATCCTTCATAACCGGAATCACTGGGATATACAAATCAAAGGAAGCAGAGAGGAGCAAGCGACCTTCACTGTCGTTGGAGATCGAACAAGAGTCTAACGGTCCAAACTATTCATGCCTGCTGCCAGAAGAAGCAAAGACGGGAGTCTCTCGTACGGGCCTGGGGGCCGAACCAAGTGAAGAAGAGGACCGAGCAAGGGAGCAAGACGGATCAAGCGACTCCCTGTGAACGTAAAGTCGAGCAAACCAAGTAGTTCGTGTGACTTGGAAATCGATCGAGCAGAATGATCGTTCAAGGGACCCGCGACTTCTGCATTTGCCAGTGTCGAGCCAAGTAGTCCAATCTTTGAATGCGACCAGAAGCTTCGTCTTCACTTCCTGGGGTCAATCGAACAAGAGTCTGTTCGGGTGGAGTCGGACGACTGATTTGCATTAGGCCAAAGGCTGGCTCGATTGGAAAGGAGGAGATCTGCATGCCGAGTGTTGAGCCACTTGAGACTTTTTTTCAGTTGCTGCCCCTGAAGCTTATCGTAACCCTAAAAAAAATATTATATTGTCAAGCCTTCATTTGTCGGCCTTCCCTTAAGAACCTAGAAGAAGACAGGCCCAAAGGATAGTTAATCCACCTTCCCTGCTATCCCACCACTGGCCTTTATTATCATTTCTGGTATCTTGAGAGTTGTTATTTAACCCACCTTGCAAGCTTGATTGATATAGCCTTCATCGCTATACTTTGTCGTCGTAATGTCCGAAGCTAATTCTTCCAAAAACTTTGACTAAATGGAGAACTCTATGGTGCACTAAGGAATTTGATAACTCTACTTTTCTATGACTAATTACCAAGTTGAGAATGACAGATTTATACTCCCCAGCTTGAGGGGAGTGTTAAAATCTCAATTGTCCCTTGGCCCTTGATCCCACGGCCAGCATGAGGATCTATAAGAGGCTCATCTGGATCACGTTGTTAAATTTCACTTGTCCCATAGCCCTTGATCCCACAGGTAGCATGGGGATCCGTGAGAGGCTCACCTGGATCACATTGATCTACTTCCATATTTGGGTGGTTGATTTAGGAAGGATTATATTAGTATAATTATGCATTATTTCTAATTAGTTATTTCCTTATTAAAATGTTTTCTATAGATCTATAAATAGGGATAGTTTTGTGTAATATAATTAAGTTTCTTTCTTCTCCAAATCTTTGAATTGAGCAGATAGAGTTGGAGCTCAACTGCTAGACCTGCATGAATATTTTGAACCAACCAATGTTGTTATCTTATGACAAACCAAAGACAAAGAAATCTAATAGTAAATCAGTCCAGCCTTTGGTTTCATTCGATTAGGATACTTCATCTATCACAAAATGATCTCATGCAATTCGGAGGTCCTCATCTAATCTAAGAAAGGATTGGATAATTTGTTGGTCTGATGTCTCTAAGGACGAGAAGGCAATTTTGGAGAAGTTTGCTAGACTAAGTGATGTGCTT